GAAGCGCTTAATCACTGTGCCACCAGGGCTCCTTTTGTTTTTCATTCATTCATTCCACTCGCTGTCAGGGAGTCAGTTCTCATTTATGCGCCCCTACAAGACAGAGAACAACTGTCCCGTCTTCCAATACTAGCCATCTTTATGGGAGCGGTCTCCTCTTTCTCCCAAGGAGTGGTTGCGAGTCTTGAACTGCTGATCTTGCCACCAGGGCTCCTTTGCTTTTCGTTAGGCAGTATCAAATGAATGCCAAAGGCATAGGAAGTCATTTCCGCTTTCCGGCTTCTCTTAAATTCTTGAGGACTTCAAAAATTCTTGTAGGACGTTAGAATGCTGGTGATCAGTTTTAGGTTCAACAAGCCCACGACTCACCATCCCTGAGGAGGGCACACGCTAATATGCTTTTCCTCTCGGGTTTAACAAACCATCCCAGCAGAGGAGGAAATTTTGAATCAAAGTGTCTACGCTTTGCCACCTGACAAGCCTCTGTTAGCAATCTGAACCTGTAACCTATTGCTGCTTCTCAATCTGAGCCTGACATCCCGCCACAGTCCTACACAGCTCGGGGAGGCGCAGACCACCGTCCTAACAGTGCAGCTCCATGTATTCAGCAGATGGCCAGAAGTTGAAACTCCACAGCACACCTCATTCTCATAAAAGTTATAAATTTCTTTCAATAAAAGCTACAGCTTCTTAGACTGGTTATTACAGCTACAGCTCTGACACCAACTCCTAATTACACCAAAGGTCTGAATCACAGAAAAAAAAAACCACGCAATATTTTGAGGCAGGCTATGTTTATATATTTCATTAAAGGAGCCAAATTTCAGCCCGGTATTCTAAATACTGACGGATGGATGATAACATCACATAACTTGAGTACCGGAAGAAATAAAGACTCAAGTTCAAAGTCTGAAATGCCATGAATTGTGAAGTATTTCTTAAAACACATTCATTTTTAAAGAATCTTTCTGCTTTCAGAGAGTAGAGAAAACCTTTGCTTATATCGAATGTCAAAATGCCAACAAAAAGGTTTAATGACTTGCTTGATGAAAAAGAATTAAAACAAATTTCTACCCCATACACCGTGTCTGATATAAAACAGGCAAAGCCTATTCACAAAGTACAAACCATCTAAGTGTACATGATCAAAGTCAAAAGCTGGGTCCGATTTTAGTTGTGATAGCCTGGGTTCCAATGATGTCAGCATCTTATTCTGAAGATGTGGATAATGTTCAGAATGTCGAATACTTGGATCTGATAAATTGCTGTTCATACCGATCCAGACTCAGTTTTGTTCAGTTCCTCGGGCGAGGTGAGAGATTAGGCAAACCTGAACCCAATGAGCCTAGCTATGGAGTGGTTTCCCCAGGTTAAATATGAAGATTTCAAAATAGTTACCTTTTCTAAAGTTTCAGGCCTTTTATATGTCTTATTACAAAAGACATGACGAACTGCAACTTGATCGGGCCACATTAAAGACTTATTAAAGGCGATGAAAAGGTAAGGACAGGGATGTTTTTAAGACATTTCTCTGATCGTGTGAACTATTCCCTTGGCGCACATGCTAACTTACAAAACGTTTTCCTGCCGTGACAGTGGAAGAATCTCCCACTGTGTCTACAGAAGTAGTTCTTGAAAGTCTTGCTGACAAAAAAAAAAAAAAAGTCTTGCTGACAGAGGCTAATTTCATGTTTTAGCTCAAGAGAGTTCAGACCAATATTTTTCAAAACATTCAGGTAGGCTACCGTTTCAAGAACCCCTGACATATACAAATACTTGTGCTTACAGTTATTCCAAAAATATGAAGTATTTGTTCATATTAATAACCCCAAACTTGACACTTTCTTAAGCAATTCACTTGGACATTTGTCTAAAGAACATTTGAAATAGGACTTGGGTTACCAAGATAATCCACTGAGCTTCCGGGGAACATGCAGTGTCTTCAGAGAAAGAACTAGAATGCATGTGGATGAAGGGTCAGAGCACATGACCCACGGCATCTGAATAGTCCGAGCTAAGAAATGAAGAACTCAAGAGACAGTTTCATTAATTAATATATTTTCTGCATTAGAGTTAACATATGTACTTTCTTGGTGTCACCGTATTTTCCGTTAAGTATTGATACTTTGTTATATTCAGACATGGGTACATTTCAACAGTCTTTTGCAATAAATATCATAAAATAATAGAGATTCGCATAATAAATATTCTTTACAATAAAAAAGTTTAACAGACTTTTGTCTTAAAAATAGTCAGAATTCAACTTTGTGATTTATACATAAAATATACAAAAAGCACCACAATTTGTGGTTAAGGCGATGAAAACACAGAGAAGATTAGAATTACTCCGCAGCTAACTAACCCAGGGCCCAAAAACACCATTAAGGAGCCAAGATCACTTCAGGCAGCATAGTTCTGTGACATCTATAGATTCATCAGCTATAAATACCAAGTTCAGCTATCCAAGTGCCCTCGATGACAACAATGGGAGGGAGGGGAGAGAAAGAGTATGGGTGCTGGAGGCAGTTGAGTCCTGCAAAACTATGAAGGCTGGAATAAGGATGAGCACGGTACACACACTGGGTCTCCAATGTGAAGGCTGACACTGTAAAGCGAATCTAAAATTACACAGAAAGGAAAAAAGAGGGACTGGCATCATTAGAAAAAGTTCACACCGAAACAGAAGGGAGAGCAATGAGGGGCAAGAAGGCAAAGTGGTTAAAGGAAAAATTTTATGTTATAACAAAAATATATCCCCCATGCTACTCAAGGGTCCAATGCTATGAAGACAGCCCTAAGAGGAGACAGATTCAATACATAGCTTATTTCAGCAATTAAACGGTCACTTCTTTAAAAACCAATGTCCCTGTTCCCACAGTACCCCGCCCCAAACTACTTTAAATCCTTGTAGCCTGGGATGGGGGGTGGGGTGGGGGGTGTTCATGTGTACAACTTTAGAAAGTTGCTTGCAGAACAAAAAGGCTACACCAAAGCCCACTGGCTCTCAACGCCCCTCAAGTGGATGGCTGAGGCTCTCATGGTAAGTGGGAACCAGGCAGTTTCACAGTCCACGTTCACTGAAGAGCATCCATGAGAGTCGAGTAAAATCCATGAGTCAAACCTTAGGAACCAGGAAGGAGAAGATGGGAACCGGAGGAGTTTTCAAAAGAAAAACCAGTATCTAGAAGGATCTGTTTGTATAACAGCCATCATGTGAAAGCTAGACGTTCAGGAGGCTCAACCCACCTCCAAAAATCATGATGGTTTACCCTGAGCCCGGGAGGGGCAGCTCTCCAGTTTACAATAGACCGTGTTGGAGTTCTTGCATCTGCACCCCGGACGGTGGATCCAGTCATAACAGCCCCTGCACAGTTTCAGGCATCCTTTAGCGGGAGGATAGCAGAGTAAGCAAGGTAAAAAGAGAGCCATCGCCCCCATGCACAGGTACCGAGAGCAGCAGTGTGACTGTGTGCAGGAGCAAGGGTTATCCGAGTAAGAATCCCCCTCGTCGTCATTGGAGCAGTGGTAGAAGATGCCCTTGACTAAGCACATGCAGGTTCCGTATTCCACCATGCTTTCAGCAGAGCAAAGGCACTGCCGATTGCAGGCCAGACAGGACGGCAGGGTCCTGGGAGCTGTGCATTCTCCACACTTGCATTTCCCACACTGTTCGCAGATGAACTTGTGCTGCGTGACGTCCTCTTTCAAGGAACCCTTCAGGTCATCCACAATCAGTTGCTTGGGCTGGGTCCGGATTGCCCTCTCAGACCTGTGCCCAGGGCCTGGTCTGGCTGGTGGTGACCTTCCCAGCAGTCCCTGCTCAGAAGAGGCACTGCTGTTGCTCCCAGAACTGGCTGCACTTCCAGTGCTGGTGGATCTGCTCAGAATGGGGCCCCTGGCATTATTTGTGAGTCCTGAATGTCCCAGGTGGCTGGTAAGTCGATGCTCATAGTTATTATTCACATTAATTGGTATAATTTCATGAGTCCGTTCATGCTTGTCTTGCCTTGGTGCTGTTCGAGGAACGGGTCTTTTCACCACGGAAGGCCCTTCTGTGTACTCATTGCTACCTCGGATGGCCTTGATCTGGTCCAAGGACAAGATAGCAGCAGGCGGGATCTCCCTCTCATAGTCTAATCTCTGCCGGCTCTCCAAGGAGGGCTGCTGGATCACAACTAAGGAACTGCCACTGCCATGTTGATTTTGGGGATCCATGTGTAGTGATCTTGAACTCTGGCAATCAGTAGGAACCTGGCATGCATCTGAAATCCTAAAAGGAAATCAAAGATGAAAAAAATGAGAGCGAGAACAAATGACAGGAAGCATCTCCCCCCAGCCCCCACCGGGGTGGGCGCTGGGGGTGGGGGCGATCCTGTCAAGTCACAAATTGCCTAAACCACCTGGTAATGATCTCCATCAACGGATTACAGTGATGCCGGGGTCCTGGCTAGCGGCCAAGTCCAAGGGAGGCTGGGGACCACATCATAGAAAGAAAGACCCCATGCCCTAAAATTGAGATGTTTTTCTGATTTTTCAAAAGGGGCATGAAGAGGAAGCACTGCCTTCCGGTGGGTGGATCTAACAGACACTAAGGAATGGAGTATGCCATTCAAAGGTACTATTTATTATTCACTACCAGCACCAGAACAGCCGTCCTCCACAGAAAACTGTCCATTCATCAGCGGCTCTCCTAGAGAAAAGTATCATTTCTTCTTAAAAGTAAGGATAGCTATAGTGCTGTGGCCTTCTTGTTTGCTATTGCAAGCCTACTCATGATGAGAAAACTCACTGAAGATACTTCATGCATTTTCCAAAACGAGTACATCTACCAGTAAAGGAAATGTCTCAAATAAAATGGAGTCTCCAAGAGGTCAGTTTCTGCAGAACTCAGGATTAGGAAGCTAGCTCGCTATTAATCTTTGAGATACAAAAAACCAACAGAAACACAAAAAATTCATGGTACGTTTCTGCAAATGTTAAAGAATATTCACATTTGAAATCGCATAATTAAATAAGGGCGTACTCAGGTTAATGCAATACCATAACTTGTATATACAAATAAGTGTTAGGCCTTCAAAGTGGCATGGAGAAATCCTGACCCTTTTAATTATCTGTATTTTTTTTCCCTTTTAAAACCCTGCATTTACATGACAGACCTCAATCTTCAAAAGCACTCCCAACTCAGAATCAATGTGCTTCTTGTAACAAATTGAGCACGCTAGTCTCCTAATAAAAATAAGCACTTGTTTTCATCCCAATAGTAAATTAATTGTCATTTATACTGTACTCTTCATTAAGCAACCTACCCAAACATGAAAGCATTTCCATTTTCAGACTATAGCAATCTGGTATCATTTTCCACACAAATTCTTTTCAAAGTCTGCAGATGCAACCCACTTCAAGAGTGAAAAGCAGACATTTCCCATCAACTCCTCGAGCCTAAACTTGCCATATTTATAAACAGACCAGAAAGCAGTCTGTTTCATTTGCTACAATTAAAGGACCTACCCCAGGACTATACCCATCTCTTGCAGCTTCTCTTGTGTTCACAACGTGCAACTTGCAACTGTCCAATTTTTTCTACCATCTCTGTATCTGCGGGCAAATACATTCACAACCTGAAGGTCTTAGTCCTAGCGTCTTCTAGAACCTTACAAAACATTCAATCATTTCTCTCAAACCAACCTTTCCTCCTCGCGAAGAACTCGGTTAACCCAATGCTTTGACAGCAAAAAGGGTATTTTTCTTAAAGAGTACTAAATTAGATTTCACGAAAGTAAAAAAACAAAAACACGGCGAAGAACTTGAATAATGTCATCAAAACACAGGCACAAGTTCGACTTGTTGTAAAAGAAGAGTTGTGACCAAGTTCACGCAGGCTGGTAGGTTACCAGGTAAAAAGTAAAACAAACAAACAAACAAAGAAAACCAGTCGTTGCTTGTCCGAAGAAATGCCCGTTTTCAAGCAGCGACAGTCTTCGGTCTGGTACACCAAACGCTCTCGGTCAAGTGTTTTCCCAAAGAAAACACGGGTCAAAGACAGACTACCTCGGCGGACAATCGCATCACAGCCTGGGTTCCCAGCACCGGGCCTGCGCATCCCCCACCAAGGTGGGCTTTCCTTTTCCTGTCTTGCTCTTTACAAATCAGGGAGCGCCTTCAGATTCACGCCCCCCTCCCCCAATCCAGCCCCCGGCACGAATGATGGTCAATAAACCGTTCTGTCTGTACGTCAAAGAAGCAGCTTGATTCGCGAAGGGCCGAGATGAAATCATCGTGGCGGGGGGAGGGGGGAAGAGG